CATGGGGTGCAGATATCTCTCCAACATATTGATTTCTAATGTTTTGTAAATATACCCAGAAATGGGATTTCTGGGTCATATAATAATTTATCTTTAGTTTTATGAGAAACCTCCCCATGATTTTCCATAATGGCTATATTAATTTACATTCCCAACAACAGTGTGCAAGGACTCCATTTTTTCTAAATCTTTGCCAACAGTTTTTCTTATTTGTCTTTTTGATAATAGCCATTCTGACAGGTGCGAGGTGATCTTTATTATGGCTTTACATTGCATTTCCCTAATCATTGGTGATGGTGAGCTTTTTTTTTTTCATACTGTGTACATTTAGGCCATTGGATTTTCTTCTTTTGAGAAATGTCTATTCAGGTCCTTTCCCCACTTTTTATTTGGGTTGTTGTTGTTGTTGTTATTATTATTTGCTATTGAGTTGTTTATGTTTCTTATATATTTTGGATATTAACCCCTTACCTGATATATGGCTTGTAAGTATTTTTCCCAATCTGTAGGTTGTCTCTCCACTTTGGTAATTGTTTCCCTTCCTGTGCAGATGCTTTTTAGTTCAATATAATCCCATTAGTGTTTAGTTTTGTTGCCTGAGCTTTTTAGGTCAAATCCAAAAAATTATTGCCAGACCAATATCATGTAGTGTTTCTCCATTGTTTTCTTTGAGTAGTTTTATGGTTTTAATCTTACATTTAAGTAAACTTTTAACCCATTTTTAGGTGATTTTTGTGTATGGTGTGAGATAAGGATCCAATTTTGTACTTTTGCATGTGTATATCTACTATTCAAAAAGCTCTTCTTTGAAGAGACTGTCTTATTACCATTGTACGTTCTTGGAACATCTGTTGAAAATCAGTATACTGTAAATGCATTGATTCATTCCTGGGATCTATATTCTCTTCATTGGTCTATGAGTCCATTCTTATATCATTACCATTCTGTTTTAATTACTTTAGCTTTATAATAGAGTTTGAAATCTGGTAGTGTGCTGCCCCCATCTTCATTCTTTTTGTACAAGATTACCTTAGCAAGATAAGGTTTTTGGAGGTTCCATATGAATTTTAAGATTTTTTTTCGATTTTTGTGAAAAATGACATTGAAATGGTGACACTGAATTTGTAGATCACCTTAAATAGTATTGACATTTTAACAATTTTAATTTTTCTTACCCATGAACATGGAGTATGTTTCCTTTGCTTATTTTTTAAAATTGTGTTGTTTGTTTTTTGTTGTTGATTTATTGGCGTCCTTTGTATGAGTATACGGTATACACCAGATGTTTAGCAGATAGATGATGTGCAATGTTTTCCTATTGTGTAGGTTGTTTTAATATTCTTTCAAATGTTCTTTGATACAAATGTTTGGTAGGCATTTTTGATGTTCTTTTATTTTTTAACATCAGAAAGTGTTAGTCCTCCAACTTTGTTCTTTTTCAATGTCACTTTCACTATTTGGCAGCCCTTGTGATTCCGTATGAATTTTAGTTTTTACTTTTCTATTTCTGCAAAAAGGTCAATGGGAATTTGATGTGGCTTTACTGATTCTGTGGATCAATTTGGAGGGTATTGACATTTTAACAATACAAAATTTCCGATTTAAGAAGGAGAGATGTCTTTCCACGCATTTAGGTCTTCTTTATTTCATCAATATTTTGTAGTTTTTAGTGTGTAAGTCATTTTTGGTTTTGGTTAAATTTTTATTAGAAGCAATTGTAAATGGAATTGTTTTCTTAGTTTTCTTTATCAATTGATCATTCATATCACATAGGAACATGACAAATTTCTGCATGTCAATTTGTATCATGCAATGTTGCTGAATTTGTTTACCAATTCTATTGTGTGTGTGGATTTTTTAGAATTTCTGTACCTAAGATGATGTCTTCTGTGAATAGACATGATTTCAAACCTTCCTTTTCAAGTTGGTTGCCCTTGTGTTCTCTTCTTGAATAGTTGGTCTGGATAACACTTCAAAAAAATACTGAATAGAGTAATAGAAATAAGTAACACTGTTTTCTTCCTGGTCTTAGGGGAGGAATCATGTCTTTTTTTATTGAGTGTGGCGTTTCCTATAGGCTTTACATCCAATATTTGCCATTTAGTTTAAAAGTTTAATACATTTACATTACAAGTAATTACTGATAAGGAAATACTTACTTCTGGCATTTTTACTTGCTTTTTTCTGTGTGGCTTATATATATTTTGTTTTCCAGTTCCTCCACCACCACCTTCTTTTGTGTTTATTTTGATTCTAATGTACCAATTCATTCCCTTCTCATTTTCTCGTTTGTAACTTTTTTCTAATTTTAGTGGTTTTCCTGGGATTACAGTACAACTTCTATGTTTATGACAATTTAATTTGAATTAATGCCTTTTGTGATTGAATAGTATACAAAAAGTCTTCTCCCATACAGTTCTGCTCTTACTGTATGTTGCTGTTTCACAGATTACATCCTTATAAATTACAGACCAATTAACTTTAGATTCATAGTAATTGTTTTATGTATTTTCCTTTTGAATCATATAGGAACAGAATTGAAATAAAAATTTACAACATCCCCTGTAGAGGATTGAATTGTGTCTCCCAAAACTCATTGAAGCTTGAATTGTGTCCCCCAAGTTTTATGTATTAGGAACTTGGCTCCCACTGTGACTGATAAGAGGACAGGAAATCCTATTATGGTAAGTGAAAGGTGGAGCTTTGAAAAGGTGATTAGATTGCAGGGTCTTGCAGTAGTGAATGGATTAAAAATGGTGGTCAGGGGCACAGTTCTGAGGGCTTTAAAAGGAGATAGTCTGTCTTTCTCTATCCCTGCTCTGTCTACTTTCACCATCTTGCAATGTGAGGGGTCACTGTTGTCACCACTAGATGTACTCCTTGAACTTTGGATTTGCCAGACTCAGAAATTGTAAGCAATAACTTTTGTTTTCTTTATAAATATTCCAGTTCCATGTATTTTGATATAAGCAACAAAAACAGACTAATACATCCCCTCCCCCACATAACACTAGCTTTTATATCACCTCTGCATATTTACCTATTTTGTTACCTTTCCTGTATTTTACTTCTTCGTATGACTTCCAGTTACTGTCTAGTGTCCTTCCGTTTCATCCTAAAGGACTTCCTTTAGTATTTATCACAGGACATATCTATTAGTGACAAACTCCTTCAACTTTTGTTGGTTTTAATTTCTCCTTCATTTTTGAAAACTAATTTCGCAAGATATACGAGTATTATTCTTTTTTTCCTTTTTGTCTTTTTTCGTGTCCGGCAACGGACCACAACCCTCAGTATCGCGCCCGGACTGGACCAGGACCGGCAACAGGATCACAATCCTCAGTGCTGTGCCCGCCCCTCGCTCAGCCAGTGAGCAGGAACCAGTCTGTATGTGGGATCCAAACCCTCGGCGGGAGCGCCACCGCGCTCCCAAGCGGTGCACTGTAGCAGTGCGCCACCGGGCCGGCCCTACGAGTATAATTCTTGAGAGACTTATTTTTTCTCGCCCCTTTAAATATATCATGTAGATTTATGTTAGTATATAGGTCTATGTTAGATTTCCATGAATTTAATAATTTTAATATATCTTTTAATGACAGTAACATTGAATAATATTACCCCTTTTATCTTCTCAAATATCTTGACATCATTTTCACGGACATTTATTATATGTCCTTATTTCCTGTGTTGCCCCATAAACTGAAAGCAATACCCAAAGCATTAATTATATTCAAAATAATAACCTCTGTTAAGAATACTTCATAAGGTGCAATGTAAACCACACTTTACTTCATTAGGTTGTTCATTACTAGTGATGTTCAATAAATCCTCTGATTTAAATACTTTTTAAATTAATTCATTTTTTATTGTAACATAGTTTATTGTACATATCTGTGTGGCAAAGCATTGTTAAATACGTGATGTTGAAATCAGAATAATTAACATATTCATCATTAAACACTGTAATTGATTTTGATAAAATTATAAAGGCTAGATCAGTTTAAAGATATGATGCATGTTTTGTATCTAACAAGTGATATGTGACTAAATTTTGGCACCGCACAAATATTATGTTATGAACAGATTTTCCACCATTGACAGTAAAATTATTCATTGAAGATTATGCTATTTTTCAGTTACCTTTTGGCTTTAGCTTATATCTGATTAGCCATGTGCCGCATTTAGATATTCTTAGGAGAAGGCAAAATAATTGTCTACTTTGATAATGTTGTCAATTTATGAAAAGATACTTTAATCAACTAAATTTATAAGATTTATTTTTCTTTATTTTTTAAATTTTCTAATTTTTAAATTTATTTTTTAAATTTAATTTTATTTTGTCAATAGACAATATGGTTGATTATTGTGGCCCATTACCGAAACCTATCTCCCTCCTCCCACTCCACCCTCCCTTCTAACAACCTCATATCTGTTCATTTTTTAGTATAAACTTCAAGGAATTGTAATTGTTGTGTCTTCTTCCCTCCCCCACCCAGTTTATTTGTGCATTCATTTACTTATTATTAGCTCCCACAAATAAGTGAGAACATGTGATATTTCTCTTTCTGTGCCTGACTCAGTTCACTTAATATAATTCTCTCTAAGTCCATCTATGTTGTTGCAAATGGCAGTATTTCATTCTTTTTTATAGCTAAATAGTATTCCATTGTGTAGATATACCACATCTTCCATATCCACTCATCTGAGGATGGACATTTGGGCGAGTTCCAACTCTTAGCTATTGCAAATATTGCTGCAATGAACATTGGAGATCAGGTGTACCTTCGACTTGATGATTTCCATTCCTCTGGGTATATTCCCAGCAGTGGGATAGCTGGGGCATATGGTATATCTATCTGCAATTGTTTGAGGAACCTCCATACCATTTTCCATAGAGGCTGCACCATTTTGCAGTCCCACCAAAAATGTATGAGAGTTCCTCTTTCTCTGTATCCTTTCCAGCATTTGGGATAGCTGGGGCATATGGTATATCTATCTGCAATTGTTTGAGGAACCTCCATACCATTTTCCATAGAGGCTGCACCATTTTGCAGTCCCACCAAAAATGTATGAGAGTTCCTCTTTCTCTGTATCCTTTCCAGCATTTATCATTCACTGTCCTTTGAATATTAGCCATCCTAACTGGGTTGAGATGGTATCCCAGTGTGGTTTGGATTTGCATTTCCTGAATGCTAAGTGATGTTGAGCATTCTTTTATATGTCTGTTGGCTCTTTGTATATCTTCCTTTGAGAAATGCCTATTTAGATTTTTTGACCTTTTTTTTAATGGGTTACTTGTTTTTTTGTTGTAAAATTGTTTCAGTTCCTTGTATACTCTGGTTATTAATCTTTGTCAGATGTATAGTTTGCAAATGTTTTCTCCCACTCTGTTGGTTGTCTTTCAACTCTGTTAATTGTTTCTTTTGCTCTGCAGAAGCTTTTTGGTTGGATATAATCCCATTTATTGATTTTTCCTTTGGTTGCCCAAGCTTTTGGGGTCAGATTCCTGAAGTCTTTGCACAGTCCTCCTTCCTGAAGTGTTTCTCCTATGTTTTCTTTAAGACGATTTACTGTTTCAGGTTGTACATTTAATTCTTTAATCCGTTTTGTTTGATTTTAGTATATGGTGAGAGGTATGGGTCTAGTTTCATTATTCTGCATATGGATAACCAGTTATCCCATCACCATTTGCTGAAGAGACAGTCTCTTCCCCAGTGTATAGGCATGGTGCCTTGTTCACAGACCAGATGGCTGTATGTGTGTGGGTTGATTTCTGGATTTTTCTATTCTATTCCATTGATCAGTGTGTCTTTTTTATGCCAGTACCATGTTGTTTTGGTTATCATAACTTAGTAGTATAGTTTAAAGTCAAGTAGTGTTATGCTTCTAGCTTTATTTATTTATTTTTGCTCAGAATTGCTTTGGCTATGCATGGTCTTTTGTTGTTCCATATAAATGTCTGGATAGTTTTTTTTTCTTTTTTTTTCCCATTTCTGAGAAAAATGTCATTGGTATTTTGATGGGGATTGCATTGAATTTGCATAGCACTTTGGGTTCTATGGACATTTTCACAATGTTGATTCTTCCAATCCAAGACCATGGGTTATTTTTACATCTTCTCCTGTCCTCTTTAATTTCTCTCACCAGTTGTTTGTAGTTCTCCTTATAGAGATTTTTCATATCCTTGGTTAACTCAATTCCTAATTATTTTATTTTCTGGTGGCTATTGTAAATGGGCAAGCTTTCTTGGTTTCTGTTTCTGCATGCTCACTACTGGAGAATAGAAATGCTACTGATTTTTGTGTGTTGATTTTGTATCCTGCATCTTTGCTGAAATCATTTATCAACTCCAAGAGTTTTTTTGTAGAGGCTTTAGGCAGTTTGATATACATGATCATGCCACTTGCAACAGGGACAGTTTGAATTCATCTTTTCAATCTGGAAGCCCTTTATTTCCTTCTCTTCTCTGATTGCTCTGGCTAGTACTTCCAACACTATGTTGAATAGGAGTGGTGAGAGTGGGCATCCTTGTCTAGTTTCTGTTCTTAAAGGAAAAGATTTCAGCTTTTCCCCATTCAGGATGATATTGGCAGTGTGTTTGTCATATTGGGCTTTAAATATTTTCAGATACTTTCCATCTATACCTAACTTGTAGAGAGTCTTTCTCATGAACAAGTGTTGAATTTTATCAAATGCTTTTTCAGCGTCTATACAGATGATCATATGTTCCTTCTGTTTGATTTTATTGATATGTTGTATCACATTTATTGATATCCTTATGTTGAAGCAACCTTGCATCACTGGGATGAATCTCACTTGATCATGGTGTATAATTTTGTGTCTGTGTTGCTGTATTCTGTTAGCTAGTATTTTATTGAGGATTTTTGTGTCTTTATTCATCAAGGATATTAGCCTGTAGTTTTCTTTTTTAGTTGTATCTTTACCTGGTTTTGGTATCAGGGTGATGTTTGCTTCCAAGAATGAGTTCGGGAGGACTGCCTCTGTTTAAATCTTTTGGAATAGTTTGTAGGGAATTGGTGTCAATTCCTCATTGAATGTTTGGTAGAATTCTGCTGTGAATCCATCTGGTGCTGTGCTTTTCTTTGTTGGGAGCCTTCTGATAACCACTTCAATCTCTTTTATTGTTATTGGTCTGTTCAGATTTTCTACATCTTCTTGGCTCAGTTTTGGTATTTTGTGTGTCCAGAAATGTATCAATTTTCTCCAGATTTTCAAATTTGTTGTCATATAGTTGTTTATAATAGTCTCTAATGATTCCTTGTATTTCCGAGAAATCAGTTGTAATATCAGCTTTTTCATTTCAATGATTTTATTTGGGTCTTCTGTCTTCTTAGATTTTTTTTAATTGAAACAAAGTTGATTGTACATATCCTTGTGGGTAGAGTTGAATATCAATACGTGTGTGTAATATGTGATGCTCAAAACAGGATAATTTGTATGAGTTAGAGACATGTAGTAATCATACACACACACACACACACACACATCTCATTTCTAGAAAAACATAATAATTATTCTTATATTTATCTCAGCATTGGTTTCCTGAATGGCCTGAATGGACAAATGCAATCAAACAATTTTGAATAAATTCATTCTAATAGGAATCACAGACCTCCCTGAGCTGCAGGCTTTATTACCTGGGCTCTTCTTCATTGTATGCATGGTCTCAGTGGCTGGTAACCTGAGCTTGGTCATCTGCACAAGCATAGATTCAAGGCTACAAATACCCATGTACTTTTTCCTCGAGCACTGTCTTGGACTGATCTTGGTTATTCGACAGCTTGGGTCCCAAAATGTTGGTAAATTTTGTTGTAGATGAATGTACAATCTCTTATATTTCATGTGCTACTCACCTCATATTCTTCAGTTAATTTATCATTAGTGAAATTTTTATTCTGTCAGCAATGGCCAATGACCACTATGTGGCCATCTGTAAGCCTTTGCTCTACACAGTTATCATGTCACAAACATTATGTAGGGGGCTGGTGGCAATACCTTATATCTACAGTGTGATATAGTCTTTGTTGACCATCATAAAAAATTTTAATTCATCATTTTGTGGCCGTAATGTCATCAGACATTTCTACTGTGATAGTCTGCCAATAATATCTTTGCTGTTCTCAGACACACATGAAATTAAATTGATAATTCTGGTCTTTTCAGCTTTCAATTTGATTTCATCTCCCCTGATAGTCTCTGTGTCCTACATTCAGATCCTTGTCACCATCCTCAGGATGAACTCTGCAGAAGGCAGATGCAAGGCCTTCTCCACCTGTGGATCTCACCTGACAGTGAGAGTCATATTCTATGGCACGCTATTCTTTATGTATGTGCAACCCAAATCCAGCCATTCCTTTGAAACTGATAAAGTGGCCTCTTTATTTTACACTTTGGTCATACCCATGCTGAATCCCATGCTCTACAGTTTGAGAAGCAAAGAGGTGAAAAATGCCTTACATAGAACAAGGAAATTGTGTGCAAATACTTTATTTAAATTTAAGTGTAGGGTATGGCTACAATAAATTAGGCAACGACCAATATATATTATAATTGTTATTGCTTTAAACTTGTTGTTGTCTCCATAGGATGAGCAAGAATCAGCATGTGACAAGCACAGAAAGAAAGAAACATTTCAATTTTTTGCAACCAGTAGCTATCATTAGCATATGACTAATCCCTGCTCATACTTCAGATATTAATCTATATTTAGTTTCTAGTCCAGATTAGGGGTCATTTCTACTTATTCTCACCTATACCCTATTTTCATGTCCCTTCCACTAAGTTATTATTATTATTTAATCAGAGACTCTGTATATTCCATTCACTACTTTATCTTTTGTGCCTCAGACAGTAAAAGGCATATAACAGATACCCAATAAATTCAAAACCATGTATTGTTAAGTTCAATAAACATAAATTATTAAATTAATCAACCAAATTTCTCCATTTGTGAAGCTTACAGAGAATACAGAAAATAGGCAGAATGAGAAGAAAGTTATATAACATGATAGATGATATTCAGTCAAACAAAAAAAGAATTGAACAAGTCGCAAGGATGGGAGTTAAATTTTTAAATTAGTTTGTCAGGGGAGCCCTCTGAGAAAATGACATTTAAACAAACACTTGCAGAGTTAGTGAGGAGCCTGTGTGGATATCAAGGGGAATACTCTTCCCAGGTGAGAAATCTATTAGTGCAAAAGTTCATAAATAATAATAAGACTGTAGTGATGAGGAGCAACAGAGTCAAAGGTGGTTGGAGCATAAAATAAGGTTAAGAAATGGACTACATAATGGTTTATTTGTAATGTAAAACTTGACCCAGTAGGACTATATAGGCCATTGTCAAACTTGCCTTTTGTTTTGATTGATTGACGAACCATTGTAGGATTTTTAGCTAAAGAGCAATGTGATCTTTTATTAATGGACAGCTGTGAGTGTTGTGCAAATAATATATTGCAGAATGTTAAGAATTGAAAATGGAAAATCCTGTATGGTTTTAATTATGACACATTCAGAAGAGGACAAAAGCATATGCCGGGATGGAAACAGTCAGGGGATGAGAAGTAATCAGAATCTTGAAATAAGGTTTTAAAAAGAATATATTTACTTATTTTTATGTGGATGAAAGAAGCTTTAAAAAGTTAATTATTAAAAAAAGTAAGGAAAGAATACTTCCAGAGCTCACATTAATATATGCTGATTAGTCTCCTCTGCTACCAACTAATATGGGGTAATAGATAATTGATTTAATGACTGACTAAAACAAGAAAAAGGAAAAAGAAAAAACAAAGGCAATGTATGTGAAGCAATAATTTTTGAAACACTGACATGAGACAACAAAGGACAATTTTTCTGAAAGATGGAAAACAGCTGAGATGAACCCCCACCTTTATGTCTTCAGAGAGTATCCAGAGTGCACTGCAAAAATGGCAAACCCAAGTGAAACCTAGAAGAACTTAATTATGTGTTTTTATTGTTTTGCGGATGCATATGTATGTTAAAAGTTGTCAAATTTGACATTTTCTACATGTGAAGTTTATTATATTCAGTGATATCTCAATTAATTTACTTAATTACTAACCATGCCAACAAATAAAAACAAAAACAAAAGAAAAAGGCAGTAACAGGAAAACACAACCCATAAGGTTACAGTATGGTTACATCGCAGGTAATGTGACTGATAATTCAACAATAAATTTACAACATAATAACTTATGTATAGTAAAACTATGCAAATAAACATGCATTTTTGTTAGATGTATTAATAATGCAGGCCTTATATAAAGCACAGTTGAATAAGTACCCAGGAGGGCAACAATAATAGAAGTGGGTATTGGACATTATAGAAAACAAGAAATATTGAAATGCAATAAAGGCAAATACAACAAAATAGAATCCTAAGCAGACAGATGATGACAATTCACTATGCATGTGAATGAGAATATGAGTAATGAATTTCTCTTTCTGTGGTCACATGTATATGTGTGTGTGTGTGTATACATATATATGTATGTATGTATATACACACATATGATTTTCCTTGGTTTAAGCTATTGTGGGGGCTGGCAGGACAGCAACCCGAGAGGCAGGCTGGCAGCCTGGAGATTCGGGCAGGAGTTAAGGCTGGAGTCTTGAGTGCAAATGTGGGAAACTCAGGCAGCATTTCGATGTAGCTGTCTGGAGGGAAGAATCTGTTCTTTGGGGGGACGTCAGTCTTTGATCAAAAGCCCTTAAACTAATTGGATGAAGCATATTCCCCATCTGAAGGGTCATCTGCAGAACTCAAAGTCTACCAATTTAAACTTTTATCACAACTAAAAAAATACCTTCACAGTAACAACTACACTGATTATGACCAGACAACTGGGCACCATAGCATAGCTGAGTGGATACATATAAAATTAACCATCACAGTGAAGGAAAAAAAAAAAAAAAAAAAAAAAGAAATCCAAAAGAAAGAAAGCTAATCAAGAACAAAAGGTAGAAATTCAATAAACAAACAAAGATACAAATCTAACTCACTTATGGTGACTACAAATTGTTCTGGGCACTTAATAAACACTCCCTGCATTCTTGTTAAGTTTCTAAATGCTTCAGAGATGATCAATAAATTGCTTGCATGTCCTCAGGAAGAGTCTCAAAGGGTGAAAACAAATCTATAAATTGTTTTTACCATCTCTTGTTAAGAAGCACCAGAGGCAGTCAAGACAGAGCTTCATTACATGCAAAAACAGAATATTTATGTTTCACATGATGCCTTATGTTGCCAATACCCAAATATCCAAAGTTCCAGTGGCATATGCAGAATAATCCTTTTATTTCATGGCAAAGCCATAGGAAAATACCAGAACGTCTGATTCACTTCTGTGTGTGTTCTAGAACTTGTTAATACCTGAGCAGAAGAGGACTGCTCTCTTTTTTCTTCAGATTAATTTGCAAATATTTTATAAATTCTAATAAAAACTTTGAAATGCCATTGCTATGTCTTTTGTAGTATTTATATTTCTTATAAATTTTTAATTATATGGATAATAGGTCAAAATGAGAGTAAACAAAACATAACTAAAGAAAGGTACTAAAAATATATATTTAGTAGAATTATAAAGTTAATTAAATTAGTATATATTTAAATAAATATTGAGGTTTTTTTCTGATCTCTTGATAAGAAAACAAGGCAGTGGGGGTGGTGGTCCACATCACACTGAGACACTAAAAGCATGTTTTGGAGGTTAGGAGACTTTTAAGTACCCACTTGATAGTGATGATACAAGGAAAAGCGTGTTCAATTTCCAGTGGATTCTGGTAGAAAGCAGACAGAACTTTCTGAAAGAATGTAGCTTTACAGAAATACAAATCAGATAATAAACCCAGAAAGTAAACTAAGAAAAATTAATTTAATACTTTCCATAGAACTCTAAAACTAGTGAGAAAATGCTCTCTTCCTTCCCTTGTCTTATATTAAAATCATCACTCACCAATGTAACTTTTTCCTTTAGCCTTTTATCATGACAACAGAACAAGATTTATATTGCTTATTTTTCCATCCATTAAGACATTTTTTCCTCTGATTATAACTCAGTGTTTCTGATATAAGAAAGTCATGTGCATGGAGACAGGGTAGGATAAAAGCTCACGACCTAATAAGCAATACTTTACGTGAGTTAAGAGTGGTTTCCTATAAGCACTTTTATAATTCAGAGTTATAAAATTATTTTCTTCCATTTGCTTTCATATAGCTTACTCAGAGACTTATGAAAATAATACTTTCTTTGTAACCAGATCAATTCTATTTGTTTTTCCTTTATATTTTACAGAAGGATTCACTGATGCTCACAGCTCTTTTAAGCTACTAATTTTTATTTTTCTAGGCCTGCCATCCTCAAACTACTCTGGTAAGTTTTAAAACTTTTTTTTTTAATAGAGGTTTAGTAGTGATACTGATATGCATCTTTTCTATACTTATGTTGTTTTTCACCATTATATGCTAACTCAGTATGAATGAGTTCTTTTGGCCTTAATATGCAGACAGACTTAAAATACGATCTCAGCATTCATATATGTTTATATTTACACATACACACACACATGCACATATGCACATACACATATATATATATACACATGCACACACACAAATATAATTGTTGGTGTATTTTATCTTGCCAGTACGTTCTTGTGTATAGAGCAATGTAATTTTTTTTCTTTAAGGTGGTGGATCTCTTTATTTAAAAAGAATTTTTATAAAAATTTATTATATAAAATCTATTCCAATTTCCTCACTTCTCCCAATTAACTCAATTTCCCTAGTTCTTCTACTACCAACATATCTAATGTGTTATAAATAAGTTAGTACGTGTCAGTTATAGCGAAAATACCCAGGGGGGGAGGATATATTATAGAGTTTAAGTAAACTTGTGTTAAATATTTTAAGATAGAAGGTAAGTTATCCAAAAAGAACCAGCACATTGATAGTCCAATTATAGTCATGGAGTCGGGGGAAGGTAAGTACTGGGGTGAGAGATGTGGATGGTACATTATTCTATTTGTTGTCTTAGAGAGAATAAGAAATTAAGTCACACAAGAAGAATTTACGTGTAGAGCATAAAGAATACCCATTTCACGGACCAGATTGTCTCCAATTAAAACAAAACAAAACAAAATACAAGAACAAAAAGCCCACTATGTACTTGATTCTGGAGGGATACTTCTACATACCATAAATACATTCAACATTTAATTTTATTTGTTTTTTAATTTTTATTTACCAATAATTTACTATATTTGTTCACACATAAATTATTTCTATGCAAAAACTAATTTAAAGAAATATTTTTAAGAAATTATAATTGCTCTTAACAGAAACTAATGTGAACTCAAATTAGACTCTGGGGAAAAAAAGGAAAAAAAAATGACGCTGTTCTACAGAAAATAATCTTTAGTGACATATATTTACTGACAAAAGCAAGCCTAGCTCTGCTGTCAGTCATACTTTAGTATAGGAGGGAATTAATAATAGTTAAAG